GGGGAAAACCGCTGTTTATGTTACTCGAGTCGAAAAATAGATTAGTGCCTGTTTATCGCAAGATAAAATCTGGTAATCTGGCCTTTTTCTTAAACTTTACGATTCGAGACCATCCAATCTTGCACGGTCGTCCTATTCTTTTTATCGTTCGACCTTTATTGTTCAAAACGTGTAACGCACGTGTGCATCCGGACAGCCGTTGTCGCCACCGCCGGTTCTAAAGTACGCTCTGATAAGTGAACCGAGCATGGGAAGATCTTGCTTGGCCAAGCGAAACGGTGTTGCAGATTACAATAATCGTCCCGCCATTTTGTGCGCGTGTTGTATCCGTAATGCACTTGCCCTGTAACGGAAATGAAGCTCGAAGCTGGAATGTAACGAGAGATAACATCAATATGCGATTTTTAAGTAAGAAGGATTTAATTCTCTGAGGCAGACGGCGCGAAAATGTCTGGAAAACGTCTCTTCTAAGCCTGGAAAGAGATCTTCCAATCTTTTAAACGTTTCCTCGGGCATACCTTAAATATTTAGGCTTTTGCTCTGTTGAAGGGAGGAAAGGCGAAAAAGGAGCTCGTTCATTTTAACAGTCTGTTTAAGGGCGTTTCGTGCATGAGCCGACGGGGAAAAAGTCGCGGCGCCCTGCGGTTTCTTGCGCGTAGCCGTCGGTGAAAGACGAGGAAGAGCGCGCCGCCGAGTGAAGACATTAAAGGTACCATGTCATTAACCATCTTTAGGTTCAAGTGGTCTTTTTTAATGAAGAGTAGATCGTGCGCGTGCAATCGGAGAAGAAAAGCGAACGAGGCGAGGCGGAACGCGCGCGCGCGCAAGGCAGACGGGATATTATTCTCCTCCTCCCGTTCTCTTACAATTAGACGCACGTTACTTTCGTCGGGGCAATTTCATTGCCGTCGAGCTTCCTGCCGCACGAAACGCTTGTTCGAAAGCGCCCCGTACACACCACACATTGTGGTACTTCCCCTTAAATTCTTCCACGCTCCTTAATGAAGCGCGAATTGCGAACCGGCCACACCTTCGAAATTTCACCACGTAGGTTCCTCGAATCATCATCGCGCAGTCTCATTGTCTGATGCACCACTATTACGCTGCCGATGTTTAATTAATTGCAGGATTTCATCATAATCTTCGTCATGCTGTATCTTGGAACGGCAACTTGAAAATTAAATATTAAAGATTTTTATATCGTGAAATTATTCATATTACTTAATCTTTACAAAAAAAAAAATATATATATATATATATATATTGGCAAAAGAGACGATTCAGTTTTACTGTAGAAAGTATTAGAAAAGAAATGAATAGAAGTATTTTGATTATTTTTTTACCCTTTCTACGATATTTTAATTTTTTGACGACATTTATTGCGTGACTTTGTTATTAAAATAGTCTCTCCTAATATCTCGCGGTCGTGTATTTAATCGTTGCCCTAAATACACGGTCGGGTTTCACGGAACTAATTTCCGGCTATTAGCAGTGTTTGTTCACGGCGATTTCGTTGCGCAAAAGCCATGAGGTCGAACTGTTCTACCAGTCAAAGACTCGTCTTTAGTGCCATATCGCCAGCGGCATTTAGATTCCTCTGTCCTTTCTAATGAACCGCGAATTATTTGCACTTATTGCGAAGCACGCGTTTTTGCGTCATCGAAACACATTCTTGAAGTCACGAGAGTGGCGCTTCGTTCCACTCTGCGCGATCCTCGTGAATGATAATTTAATATGTTTTCTAGCGATTTATTATTCCCTGCAGCTATTATACTTTTAGTCGGATGTGCATAAAGAAAGATTTCGGAATTCCTAACGGTATGCCGATGTATCGATTGAATGGTCGAAGGCAGGATTTCTTGTGTTTCTCACGCTCTGACAGAATGGTTTTCATTTTCACATCGAGCGAAATCGCAGTATATTCTAACGCATGAAGAATAGTCCTATTGTTTAATGAATGCACAATGCATAGATTGATGCTAAAAAAGAAAAGAAAAAAATAGAAAAGTAAAATAAACCTTTATCTAATGCATTGAAAGTAGACAAATAGAAAAATTAGAATAATATTTATTTAAAATAAATAAATTTTAATTAAAATAAAATAAACAGAAAAAATTATGGAAAAACTCTCATTTTGTCGCCCTTTCCTTCTGTCTAATGCAAATTTTTTTAGGAGTAAATCATGTGCGAAATAATACATTAACTTTGTCGGCAAATTAGGCCTATCATAGGCCCATATCGGCGAACCGACAATAAACGATTTCGGCGTTCACAAACGGGCAGATCGCGCGCACTAGAACGGACTCGATTGAGCTAAACTGGCGCAATGGATAAATTGCGGCACTTCGGCGCGTCGTCTTCTTTTTCTCGTGTCTTTCCTCTTCGACGATCGTCGATAGGCGGGCAGCGTGACGATCATTACATTCAATCGGTACGCCGGCATCGTTTCAAAAGCCGTGGCTCGGCACCGACGTGAACAAAAACTTTCGCGGAACAATCAGTTTGGGGGTACCTCCTCGCGCGAAGGGGGCAGGCTCGTCCACGAAACTGAGGTACGCCGATAATGACGCGTCGTTTAAGATACAGTTACGTCCCTGATTTCTTCTAATTAGTCCGCTTGAAACAAAACGGATCGTTAAGCGCTTCTCTTTCCGATAATCTCGAGATAACCGCAGATCCATCATCAGCCTGATTACGTTTTCGCCGGGGAAACGACTTAATCAAGACGGAGAGGAGTTCTCTTTCGTAATTTTTCGATTAAGGTTGGGCCACGGCAACCCTCCCGAGAGGGATGCGTATAATGACGCACCGTTGTTACACTCCCTAATTGGCTCGCAATTAATAATGCATGATTGCGTGAGCGCACAGCTACGCCGAGCGAGCGCTACGCCCGGTATAATCTCACTTCGCTAAAGAGCTCCGGCTCCGTTCACGCGATCCCCGTGCATGCGGAATCAGCGTGCGTCTTGTTAAGCCTCATTTACACAGACGGCCTTGAAAAATGGTTAAAATGTTGGCCGGCGACAAATTATGCAATCACGCGAGAAGCTATACTGGTGCTATTTCTAAAACCACACAACGTCTCGAAACAATCTTCAGACGAGAGTTGAAATTTTATCCGCGTTTAAATTTAATCGCGTAATAATTCAGAAATATGAAAGAAGTTGGTATGTGGCATTTTCTCTTTTCTATACTTCGGAACGTCTCGCAATGACAAGTGGGACTATGTTCACTTCACAACTTCGTATGCCTACTGGCTGCCTTCAGAAACATTTAAAGTATTAGCAAGTGGTACGTACAACGCGGTTCTTTATTTTCCCGATGTAGCTACAGCCGGTAGCACTCGGAGAATGCGACCGCCAGTTGCCCCCGTGATTTCAACAAATTAACCGCGTTGATGTGCAATGTGCTCTTCGCGATAAGTTGTTGCGGGGCAGATTGCGCGTATTTCGAGAGATTTACGACGTGGACCTGAGGCATCGGGCATAAATAACGCCGTTATACGCTCGCACGTACGTTACGTCTCGTCGTGTTATTAAGGCCATCAGCTGCTTCTGGTTGGTTCGCCAAGTACAGATTGACGTAATGCGACGATCATTGTGCGCGAGAGAGCCCGCGGCCGGTTCGGGCCGTGTAACGAAATGATTTCTGCAACCGTGCCTCGGACCGGTCTGTCGCCAAAAGGATATTACCAGCGCCATCAGATCACGAGCGACAAGATCCCGCTTGAAATTCTATCAAGTAATTTTTTACAATCATTCGCATGATTCGCTTATATCTCCAACGATGTAGGCATCAGAAATCGAACCAAGAAGAATTATTTAAACCTTGAGCCGTCATTTTGTGTCACAACTTTGCAAAACTTTTTAATGTGTGTGAAAGTCGAATTTGACTTCTGTTTTGTTATTTCTAATTGTATTTATATAGATTTATAAAATTGTGAATTTACGATGATCAAATAATAAAAACTTTCCTATTAATTTTTCGCTAAAATTAACGTCATTCTTGACGTAGCCTTTTTGGCTGAAAGGACGTCCGTTCTGGAGGAAACTCTGTGTGCAATAGGGACGTTTGCAAGATCATTCGTGCATTACCGGAATGGAATCAAATTACAGGTTGTTGTATGTAAGGCATACTTATCGGCGTACTCTGGGAGAATGCCTAAGGCATGAGTTTAGTATTAATGGTACCTGCCAGTGCAATAATCGAATGCCTGGTAATGCATAATGTTTACCGGCAGCGAAAATTATGCAGCTGAAAAGGAGTTTTTACCTCTAAGGAATCATCAAAGTGCACGAGCCGCGCGTACGTGTAGATACGCCTTGTATCTCGCGGAAAGCGCCGTCCACCTCTAAATGCGGCAATGATCCGTGCGGATTGCGCAATGTGCCTCCCGCGGTTACTAAACACGTCTGTATTCCTGCCCGTACATTTATCGTTAAATGAGCCGTTAGGCGTAATAGCAACACCGTCATATCTCCCCCATTGTATGAAATCAAAAAGGGTATGCGAAACTAATTAACGTAAGACCTACCTAATTTATCGCAGCCTCTTTTACGATTCTACAAAGAGAAGATTCTAAAATCTTGTGGTCACGCCGAGAGATAATTGTGAAACGCCGCGTTGTGTAGGTATACTACGGCAGAAATCTATCTCTCCGACGATTTATACCGCTACTCCGGCCAACACAGTTCAGCGTTAAATCGGAGGTGAGAATCGAGCGCCTTAATGCGCGATTTGTCGACGGTGATGCCGTCACGTATAAACGCGACTATAAACGCGCGGCACATCATGCGGCTTCAAGTTCGTCGCACGCGCGTTGTTCTTTCCTTCTCGCGCGCGCAAACGCTTTTAACGACCGCGGGGGGACCGGCCGGCGCGTGTTTTAATTGCGATCGAAGCGATCGTTAGAAGGTACAAACGACCGCGTCTCCGCGATAAAGGCGGCCGGGAGCACGAGTCGTTAATAGCGACGCAATTTCTCTGTTTTATGTTTGCAGGCGTGCGCGCCCAGGTACATCTGGTTCTCGATGTCGCACCCAAAGTACGATGACAGTAAGTGGAACAAGGGAGTCTCGGCGGGCAGCAGAAGAGACCCGGTGGGCACATGCTGGGTCGTCGATAATAACTTGAGTCAGTCGCAGGAATACTCGCCTTGTCGCTCGAGTAAGTTAATTTCATTAGTATTATACAAACTTTCTCAAATGTTACAAAAGTTACTTCCTTTCGCATTCTGACATCCTTGATGATTTTAAGGCGGAATTAACACCAGGCTACTCGTGTACGGTTTTTAACGTCAAACATACTGATAACATTTTTTTTTTAAAGTGATTAAACTTCTGTCAAGACGAGGTCTGTTAAATGAAACAAAGTCGGATGCAGAATTTTTTTACTCCATACATCTCTGTGACCGGTATTCGTAGACGATTCTTATATTTTAAAACCGTCTTGAGTACAATATTAAAATATGGCCAATACACAGAGCCATATTACTATTTAAGATATTATTCAAAAAGGTCTCTTGAAATAAGAATTGACTACAAATACCGGTTTATATCTATTCTCCTATATCTCAACGATAACGTATACGTTACTTTAGTACTTGAACCTTTAGGACCAGTAACCCAAAGTGCACGATTTTACGTGCCTTTGTTCTCGTCAATTAACAAAACGAAAAAGCTCTCTCTGTAGTTTCCGTTTCTGACGAAAGCCTCGCCTCGCGATAAAGTAAACAGAGCGACGCACGAGTGAATGTTTAATTTCCACTCTCACCATTCTCTCTATCGCCGGTATCGAACTCTCTCCCTCAAGGGTGGTACGATTTATAGTGCGCGCGTCGCGCCGCTGTCCGGATATAGCTCGGTTTACGAGACAGCGCGGAGATGGAAAAAAAAAAGGAAAATATCTTTAGAGATTTTTGTGCGTCTGTGGAACTACGTTTGCGCGACGTGAGTGCTATAAACATTTGTGAAACAGGCACACTCGAAGACGCAAGACAAGAGCCGAAGGCGTTCTTGAGAGGGTAGCTCCTCCTTGTCCGCCTCGCCGAGGATCTCACGAGGACGAATTTCCTTTGCGACGCGACAAGGATTCCTCTGTGCAGCCGACATACGGTTGTGTTCTCCTGCACGCATAGCGACCGTAAATACGTCATGTAACAGGATACTTCCTGCCGGCGACTTAGGTCTGCACTCTGCATCGTGTCTTAATGACAAAGGACATATCGATTTTCGGCACCGCCTCGCCCGAATCCGGTCATTTCAAATCAATAATTAGCGATGACTTCAGTTACTTAGCGAGCATAGAATGGCTATGGCGTACCCCTCACGAATGCAATCATTTAGCAATTTTAGATGTCATATATTAGAAGAATTTATATTTGGTTGTTTTTCGGGGAGAGAGAAAATAAATATAAGCGAACGTGAATTTCCCGCTATTTTAATATTCGCGACGATCGTCTCGAATTTCTCGTGGATTTTTTTATTGTAAACTAACTTGGAAAATTATTTTATTTTATTTTCAAATGTACGAATTCACTTTCCAAGCTTACGAATTCATTGTGTTCTTGTTACTCGCGATAGTAAGTCCCGTACGTATAGATTGTGGTTTCTTGATAACGTTCCTTTAAAAATACCATATTTAACTTTTATCTTATGGTTATCAATATGACGCTGACACACAGGATGTCGCCGGACATTACGGATATAGACAAAACGCAGCCTTGTATGTCATTCACATTGTTTTTGAAATAATACCCATGATTTTATATCATGATAATATCGATCACATAGACTAAATTGTCTATTGTTATTTTGAAAACTTGATTTTTTTCTGTAGATTTGTCATGATTTTTTGAAAAAATCGGACTAAATCCGTCAATTATAAATCCAATTAAATTTCTCCCAGTTTTCTATTCTGAAAGTCATATAGTTTGCATTAGCGTATATAGCTTACGAGATTTGTTCGCCGAAACGCAAATAACATTAGGCGTGTTTTTAGAATCGCATTTTCCTGCAATTAAAGTCGCGCGCTTCCTCACGCGCGAGTGAACATTTCGGCAACCCCGTCACTATTGCGTGCTTTATGACGCGCGAACTGACGCACTTCCGGTCGTTCGGGGGAAGACTCGAATATTCATTCTTCGTACATATTGAATTGAACGTAAATTAAAATTAAATAATTAAATCAAACGGCGTAATTGAAATCTCAAAGTAATAAATGAATAATAATTGGAGCAATAAATCCTTAGATAATTTTTATTTGGAATAAAATTGGTAGCTATTGTTTTTAACAATTACTAAATGACATTCAAATTAATACAGTTTTCTTAAATATTTTGCAATAAATTAATCTTAATTTTATTTCTATATATCAATTTAATATTGGTTTATCTAATATTAATATATATAATTTGTGTATTTTAAAATCTATAATTGAATAGAAATATATTCAATTATAACAAAATGTAAAATTATATAAAGATAAGATCTTATAAAGAATTATATAAAGATAATGTCTTGTAAAAAAAGAAAACTCTCGTACAAAGGTGACGTTGCCTGGCGGCTTTCCAAATAAATATTACTAGAATTCGCCGAAGCAAAATCTTCGCGGAACACAAAGTGCGGAAGCGAACCCCTAGCCTCGATGACGACGACGACGACGATGATGTGAGCTCATCGTCCAGAAATTCCGCAACGACCGCGCAATTAAACAATTTGTAGGAGCCGAGACGAGCGAACGAACTGCTTGGTGCCGCTTTTCCCGAGAATTGTAAAGCCTTTTTAGCGAGGCGTTAGATCTCACCCGTAGTTTACAACGTCATGTCGACGTTATTTTATCGCACACCAGAGTCGTATCAAGTCGCTCATAATCGCCTTTTCTGGAATTAAACGTCCATCACCCCGCTGTCTGTTTGCCCGTCCGTTGTTGTCCACTGCAGGACAAGCAGAGACGACAACGAGGCTATCAGTGGCTTTCATCTGCAATTTTCTTCGTAAGATCGCCATGATAGATCACTCGCAAATGGATATATATGAAAAAGTGCCCCAGCAAACAGTTTCTTTATAGAAAGATATATTAAATATTACATATCCGTGGCATAAATTCTGCGAGAAAATTGGAAGCCTGACCGTTTGAAAAAATTTGTGAAGAGAAAAGATGAACAATTTTAATGGTTATAATTATTTATTTTAGAATTGGTCAATTCAGTAAAACGAGTGCAATGCGAAATATATACTCTCGTTTTGTTGACTTGATCAATTACGAAATAAATAATTATTGCTTAAATAGTCCACTTTTTGTCTTTACAAATTTTTTTAAACAATCGGGCTTCCAGCTATCGCAGCACGCTGTTAAGAAATAAATCCATTTGTAAGACTAGAATATATGGCATGACTACGTATAGTTAAAAAATATAAATAAAAGAGTTGTTTCAATAATGAAATAATTTCTTCCAAAATCTGAATCATTGCACTTTGAAAAATAGAAAATCTTAAGAGCGAAAATTTTCTAAAATCAAGTGTATTTCAACCGTTTCTTATTTCCTATCTCTTGTATGGTATGTGTTAACAATTCCGACAAGATAAGGAGAATGATTACGCGGTCGTTTGCGGGTCGGTGTCTTGAACAAATTTCGCGAAATGCGATTACGCGGAAATCAGATCGAGTGTCGCCACATTCTGATTACACCTTATAAAACGACGGTTTGATCCTGTTTTACAAGCTCGACTTCTGGCTATCCAGTGAATAAAATGTAATTCTATTGTAATTGGTGCCTGTGTAGCACTCACAGAAGTTCATATGAACAACTGTGAAATTCATTTTTTGTTATATGATAACATTAATTAAAAGGAAAAACTGTTCTGTAAAAGTTTACGTTTTATAAACTCATTTTGTAACGTTAGTTACGTCTGCTTCCTCATTAGTTACTTTTTGTAAAATTGGTATCTTATTATTTAATTTAAAAAATATACGTCGCTACCTTGTTGCTATATTTAATAGTCTCGAAACGAATAAGAGCAAGTCGGGTAGAGATGTACAGAGGAAAACATTTTTCACGTGCGCGATTAACAAAAGGAAGGCAGCAATGGAGAATTACAGTAAGTGCATTCCTCGATGAAAGGCGCCCACTCGCTCGAGTGGCTGAGAGGCATCGGAAAAAAAAAAGAAAATAATAATTGGAAGGCGCCTCTCGGACTAAGGCGCTAACTCGGCACCGTTCTAACGAGGCCAATTAGCACTTAATCCTACTTGAATTACGATCGAGCTACCGATCTCCAGCAAAGCGACAGTATATTCCATCTCTCGGTATTGCAGTTTCATTAGAATAATTTCTTTTTAGATATGTAATTATATCGTGAGTAGTTTATTTTTGCACAAGAAGGAAGAATGAGTTTTTCGATTCCTTGAAGAAAGGATTTCTCTCTCGAATTACCGTTATAAATTTTTAATATCACGCAAGATTAATTAATGGCTATTAAAATTTGTATTGTAAAATATAAGGAATTATTAATTATATCGAGCATTTACGTGAAATAAGATTAATTCTCGTAATTCTTAAATGAAAAATTCTAGTTTCTTAATTGAAATTAACTTTAATTGAAAAATCCTAGTTTCTCAATTGACATAAATCTTGATTGAAAAATCGACGTAGAAACTAATGTAAGAATATATATTTTTATTGCGATCGCGGTGTCGCCTCATTTCTGAATAAAAGAAGTGACCCGATAATGCATATTGAGGATACGTAATCACGCACCGACGACGCACGCACACACGCATGTAGAACAAGAATTACAGTAGCTCCATTCATTCCTCGTAACTCGATTAAGGGTCGGTCATACAACTCCGACTCGTCTCCTGTAACGCTCCGATTTCTTTATTAGGCGCTGCATCGTCAAAATCATTCATGGCCAAAATCATCTTCAGTTTAAACTCTCTCGTCGTTTCTTTTATTAAATTAACGTCTCGCCGTTGCGTCTATCACGCACATAAAAAAGATATTTGTTTTATATTCAGGCTCACTTAAAAAAGATACTTGTTTTATATTCGGGATTACTCCACGACACATTCTGAGACTCTTCGATATCAAATGGAAAAAAAAACCGTAAATGTTTCCTTGCTAGATAAGAAAAATGTTTCTTTTTCTCTCTCTTCTTGTATTCGATGTCGACTCGAGTTTGAAAGTGGAGTGGCCTCTTACCGACGAGAATAGCACCCTTGCAAAGCGCGAGGACGAGACGGATTATAAATAGATCGACCACCGACGATATCGCGGTCGAACGCACATCCGTTGTTACTTCACGGATGATACCATTATCGCGATTCGCCGATAACAACTTTCAACGACCCGTTTAGCATCGTCACACCTAAGAATTAACCAATTACTAAGTTCATTTATCTTTCTAATTTGAAGAAATGCAGGTTTTGTGTCGATAATTTCTGTTAAAAAATAGGGAATCGAAAGGGTTAAATTGATCGCAACTATCTCTCTGAGTGAAATTATTCTCGCGAGACTCTTTTTGACAGCCGATGATTTAAAACTTCCATCGACTTGCAAGTTGAGCTCCGGCCACTGTTTTGAGAGCGACATGCGTGTCACCGATGTTCGACGAGTGGCGCCGATCGCTCGCTTTATATTTGCTTTTCCGACGACGACGACAGCGACGACAAAGACGGCCGCGACCGGATTGATGTAATTGCGTGACTGACAGTTCGTCTAAAGTGACTGATCGGCTGTCAAGAGGTCCATTGCTGCTGCTGCTGCTGCTGCTGCAGTCATAGCGTACAACGTACGTACGTGCAC